TCATCTCTTCTCCCCTTCTTTTTTCTCCCTCCCTCTTTCTTTCTCCCTCTTCTTCTTTCTCTTTCTCTCTGTTTTATTTAGTCTGCTTGCTCTCGAGAGAGATGAGATTGTTGCAATTTTTTTTCTAGATATTATGCCTGTTTGTTTTTCGAAAAATCTGGCCTATTAACGAATGGACAAAACTTTCAAGATATTTTCTTGGACATAGAAAAATTTACAATTTTTATTGACAACAATATGAAAATTTACCAAAACATCAAATATTTATTTTGTGTTTTATTTTATATACCATAAATACTTCGTCTAAGTTAATTAGCAAATCAGAAATTGCAAATTTTTCCAAAACAAATCCAAATGTATTTTTTTCGGATATTTGGCTAAAAATAACAAAAACTATACTTTTTAACATTAGAGATATTTTGAACTAACATTTTATAATATATTGAGTCTGCTATATTATGTATTTGATGTTGTGTTCGTCTTTGCATTTTGTAAAATTACGTCATAATATTAATAATCATAATTATAATATTTGTGATATAAAATTAAAAATGAACAATCTCTAATCCTTAAAGGAGTTCAGAAAATGTCGAATTCTCTTAGAAATTCCTTTTTGATTACCGAAATTAAGAAAATTTATCAGAATTCAAGAATTTTTTGTCGAAATTGTCTCTTAAAAAAATTTTTTTTAAATAAATAATAGAGAACAGTATTTTTAATATTATATTAAAGAGCTATAAATATTTTGTTTTATTTTAAATTTTATTTTAAACCTATTTTTGATATTCCATATTAGATTAAAACTAAAAACATTGAGTGAAAGATCTGAAAAAAGTTCTAAAGCTTTGGTATTTGGAAAATTAAATTCTTTATTGTGACAATGCAAGAAAAGTACATCTTCGAAAGTTATGTCCACATACTATTTATGCTTATTGAATATCTATGTCATATATTATACATATATAGTATACATATACATTAGTATAGTATACATATACATTATACATACAGTAAAAGAATTCTTTGTTTTTCTCAGATCTCAATTTGTAGTGCATGATGCGAAGTCTAAATTAATGAGTTAATTAGGCGTCCTTGTTCTCACGATTTTATGTTCATGTAGAAAGAATGAGAGACTGAGGCAGAGGGTGAGAGAAACGAGAGAGAGAGAGAGAGAGAGAGAGAGAGAGAGAGAGAGAGAGAGAAAGATGAGGGATATGATTTAAATAAATATATCGTAAATAAATATATATATTTTATAATATTTTATTAAATATATACTATTATTACTTATAAGTATATGAGAAGAGTAAAAAAAAATCTGAGACTAAAGAAATTCTATATCTGCTTATTGCACAAGAAATAAAACTTATAATTAAATAATATAACAATCGAATATAAGAATATAAAAATACCTAATATAATGTAACAATTGATATATCGATATATTAATACCTTCGGATCCTGTGTACATTGTATATATATCAAATTTGGAGACATCATTCGTTGAAATTATTAATTCCATCGACATCATCTGAGATCTGATAAATAATATATATATTGGAAAAATAGTCAAAATTTTACAAAAAAAATAATTATTTAGTATAAATTACTTATTAAAATGTGAATCGAATTAAAAAAATTTTTTAACATGGTTCCAATAAAATCAGGTCTGAAGAGGTTAATAAACGTAACAATATAAATCAATTACCAATTGTGTGTGCAAAGTATTTTATTTTATTTTTATGAATCAAAAGTATATACAATAGTTTATTTGTTTGTAAAAACAAAAATTTATTTGAGGATGTTTTGACTATATAATATCAGCTAAACATATCAATCAAAATAAGCTAATATTGCCAATATTCCTATTTGAAAAAATCCATGTTAACATTGAATGTTTCGAATCTCTCGAAATATATTATTGCTTCTTTTCTGAGATGCTGATTGTTCTCTCTATGTGCTTACTTACTTTGTTGTCATTGATAACTGTTTACATTGTTCACGAAGTAAGCGCATGGATTTTGATAAAAAAAGAAGGTTATAATACAGTAAAGAGAGTTATAGTATAGTGACGTAGTTTAATAATGTGCGCCTGTTTTGTACTAATATTCATAAATTTTTGATGATATTAGCCTGTGTGAATGTGCCTTGAAACCAACTACAAAAAACAAAACAAATAATTTGGTTCATAATGATTTTATGCAACAAAATGGCCATATTTTTCTGCAATTTTAGTCATTTTAAAATAACTTTTAACGCGTATGTAGATCTAAATAAACTTTTGCATATATATTTATTATTGTTTAATCAGTATATGCTTAAAATTTAATTTAAATCTTAATGTTACTTCCTCATTGCAAATAAGTATTGCACGATTTTACATAAGAATCAAAATTAACAAAATTAAACAACTTTTAAACTAATAAGAAAATTATGCTGAAATTTTACACAGATATAATAATGTGGAACAATCTATGAAATTTTTATATTTTTGGTAATGTTTTAAGATGTGACCCATCTGACCCATACATCTTTAAAAGATCAGTAATATTTGATAACATTAATTGTTATTACAATAATATAAACGCAAATGAATATTTTCGTACAGTTGGATGAGTACATTATATTTCGTACAGTTACATTTATATTTAGTAATCGTAGCTTATAATCGAGCAATGTGTGATTGGTTTGCTTATAAATTAACGGTTACTTTATTCTAACAAATATAATGCAATGTCACGCAAATGTTTCGACTTACAAAGTCTTTATCAGTTCACCTAATTAATCCCCTTAAGAGAAAATCTCTTGTTAAACAATCATTAAATCTTATCTAATAATCCTAACTATTTCTTTATAGATAACGCTATATTATCATACGTATAAAGTAGTTGCTTTTTAACGTCAATACATACTTTTCTGTGCATGAATTAATAAAGAGTAGTTAACTTTTCATCCAGTCAATATTGTTCGGAGTCCAATTTGTAAAAATTCCTTTGTCCTCGATTTCTCGATTGATGTCGAGAATCCAATACAAGTCCCATTTAAATCCAAAGTTAATTCAATGGTCATTTTATTAAAAAGGTAAAAAAAAGCACCAAGTGTAAGCATTGTATATGTACTCCTTAAAGAAAAAAATTACTTTCTATTCCAAACCTATTTTTCTATCAAAGTAATAATAATTTTTTTCAAAAAACTTTACAATTTTACCATTTATCTGGAGAACAAATTTGTCAAAATATGTGTTTTTGATATTTATGATAAATATTATTTCTATCAGATCATGTATATACAGAATGTCCCAAAATTCGCGACTCAAAATATATATAACAAGAAAGTTTATGAAAAATTAAATAAAAAATTTATTTCTAAATTTTTATTTCAAGCAATATCTTCTGAGATATAACGGTTTAAAGCCCGTATTTATAGTTTCTCAAATTTCATCTCAAAAATGTTTTGTGTGATATTCATGGTTAGATAGTAACTCTGCCAACTAATGAATTATGTTATGTTATGATTATCGTTTCAATTTTAATTTAATTTGATTACAGTCGATTTTTATTTTTTAACTTTTTTAACTTGTTACTTGCGCGAATTTTATAACCGACTCTTGCGTGCCCTTTCTATTATTTATATTCTTTATTATTGTTGTTTTTATATTTTAGCTTATTATATAATCGCATATTATATAATTTTAGAATATTTTGTTATCTTTTGTTACAGAAAAGTACAGAGTATACGCGAGCGTGTCATTCGCTGTATTACTCCTAGGGATCGGCGTGCCTCTCTGGTGGCACACTACAACAGTGCCCCGTGTTACACTTCCCTATACAGGAATTGATGAATTATCGAAACTGGATATCAGAATCACTACAAAGATTACTGTTGCAGCACTCTCACACAATCGCGCCGAGTCGCTCGCACGTGAGATCAGACGTACGTTCGAAAACGCTGGTAAGTGAAAACAAACCACGAAAGATTTAATAACAATTCATATTGTGCATATTGCCTGAAAAGATTCAAATGACTTTGATGAAATTTTATAATAAAATTACTTGTGTTCACCCACATTAATATTTAAAAAAAATTTTTTCAACAAAATTGTTAATTTTGAACTTTTATCCTTCGATGATTAATGCGTTCAAGTTGACACTCACAAACTAGCTTGTACGACGGCTCAAATGAAATTGACAAGTTTTTTCTATAAAATGGCGTTTCATTTATTTTGTTCGGCCTATTTGTTGCGAATAACCGTTTAATTTGGACACAATCCTAATGATTACCCTATATCTCACATTTTTTGAACGTAAGTTCAATTTGACATACATTTATTTTCGTATAAATTTTGTGACATTTTTCTCTATCTTTCTTTTATATATATCTCTCTCTCTCTCTCTCATTTTATTAATTTGTATAGGAATCATCGATATCGTTAAATTTTTATATTATTTTTTTGTTAGTTTCAATCCTTGATTTTCAGAAATATATCAGTTAAACGTAGAATATCAGATAGTTTCCAATAATCTTTTGGCGTCCGTTTTCACATACCACGAGCTCGAAAAGGTGGCTTCAACTTTCGATTTGGATGTGGGTGGTTTACTACTCCTCGAAGCGACAAATTTGAACGACGCTGTTTTGGTTGGTTCAAAGAGAACGCTATATTTCTCCACCGAAACTAGTAAGTTGATTAGTATTGAAGCAATTTGTTTGAATCAATTGCATCTACTGGATTTAAAATTGCAATATAATCGATGATTAGCTTATTCTTGGCTAAACGTATTTCGGGCGAAAAAAATTCGTCTAATATTTTTAAGAATCTTTCATATTTTATGTTTATGAAGATTTTTGAAAAAATTTCTTAAACTTTTTGAGCTTTTATATTATAAATTTTCTTCAAAAATTATAAAATGGGAAATCTTATAAATTTGAAACTATTTCAAAATTTACATATATGTATAAAGAATTCTAGAAAAAAATATAGACTCAGCACTACTGAAACATGTTCCAATTCGTATAAAAAATCTGAGAAATTTTATAAAATGTTATTTAATTATACAAAACTCCTAAAATTTTTTTTAAAATTTTGGAAAATTATATGAAAAATTCCAACAAGGAAATTGCAAAAACTGTAAAATACTAAATGAGATGAAAAAATATGGTGTTATCATATAAATGGCTATCCCTTATTATTTTGTAAACTAACAGAGATAGACTTAATAAATATGATTTCAAATTAAACGGCTGTAACTAAACTTTATTGTAAGTACAGTGTTCACTGAAAGAAATTAATACTTATGTTAGAGAATGTAGAGATAAGTATAATTTTTTACTATAATGCAAGTATTTCGATATAATAAAAGTTATAGCGTCCATTCTAACGAGTACGATGTATGATATAATAAAATTATTTTACAAAAATAAATCTAGAAAAATAAAATTTTCTTATAATGTTATATAAATACCAATGTGTTTTCAGGTATATCTACATTAATACAAGTATTGTCAGAATGGATTCTGCGTGATAAGTCATTGGCGCTGACAAAAAATGCGCTCGCGGAGCCTACCATGTATAGCTTAGATGAGGAGAATAGAAGACGATTTCCAGCCAGTCTAGCATATGATGTTCTAGTCACCTTGGTTAATCCTGATCCTGATAAGCTGAAAATTGTTTGGGACCTTAAGACTATAACTGAAGGTATATATATCATATATAACTATTTAATATTAAAGTGGTTTGAAAAATCGTAAGATTTAAGACAAATTTTTTTTCATAATTTTTTGAATACTCTGTAATGACTTTTTATTGACTATGTATTATATAGGGTGTAGTATTCAAAGTTTGGAAATGGTCGAATATTTCGGAAATAGAACATTTTTTAGAAAAATAAAAGTTGCAAGGTTTAAAAAGATTTTTTTTTTAGATTGCATCCGTTTGATCTTGGATGACATCGTCAAGGTCAAATCGATTTTTTTTAATGGAACCCCCTATTTTTTTATTCCAGAATCTAATAGCTGGTATGAAGAGCTTTTCAAAATACTATAATAAAGTCATTTTTTATTAAGTATTTTTCGAATTATAAAGCACAAAAGTTACAGTACCGCCAGCATTAACATTAATCAAGGTGTCCGATTGATGACTAAAATATCTTGAATATTGTTCATAGCCTTAATAATATTTATCAAGATAAAAGATATTGGAGGTTCTTCATCTTATTTTCATTTTTATGAAAATAATAATAATAAAAAAGAAAATAAGATGTCTTATTTTATTTTATTATTATTATTTATTCTTAATCCTTGCATTGCGGCTTAGGATGGCTTCCGGTTTACATTTGTTGTTAATTTAATATACTTTGTCCATATATCCATATCCTTTGTACATACATCATACCTCTGTCCATATCTCGCTCTGCTACATATCCATATAAAAGTATAAACCTTAAAACATCCATATCCATAACATAACATATATATAAATTATATCCCGCTATTCATAAAAAAACTAAACAAAACATACCGCACATATCTAACATTTCTTACATATCCAATACATATCTATAACTGCTTGTATAATAAGTCTTATTTAAAAAAAAATCGATTTAATCTTGTCTTTACCTTGGCGACAAGATCAAACGGATATGATCAGTAAATAGATCCTATAAACCTTACAACTTTTGTCCGAAACATTTTTCCCAAAAATGCTTTGTTTTTTAAGATATTCGACTGTTTCCAGACTTTTGATATACCGTATATATTATTACTAAATACGTCAGTTTTAATTGTTAACAAACATACAACTTACAGACTAAAATTTAATTTCTTGTAGATTACATGCAACCGTTTCTAGATGAGCTGTCCATCTTGAGTAACTTTTCAATCAAATCGCAGTGGCTGTATTTATTACCATTAGATATGAATCCCAGACGTGTACCCGACAGCAGCCCAAGCCGCAAGCATTTTGCCTTGCGCGAGAGTGTCCTGCCACAACTTGTAACACCGTTGGAAAAAAAATTAGGTTTGTAACGCATGTAAAAAGTATACGTGTCTAACATATCTGACTAAATTTTAAAGCATCGCAGGTTAGTCTCCATCCATGTATCAATTTAGTCATTTATATGGTACCATGTGACAATGCGCCTTTACATATCTACACCCGCAGCGGGCATAGATCGCGAACAGATAGCAACGTGGAAGCCTTTCTCTCTCCGAGGTATCTTTCATTTCCAATTTGTGATTTGCACATTTATTACTATTATAGATTTTCTTAAAGGGATACTAAGTCGTCTGTTTTACCAATTAAATACAATAATTTTCGTAGAATGATATAGGGGTATCAAATATATTACTTTTATGAATTTGGAAATTCTTTTCCAGAATTAAAGTATATGCATTAATATTAATCTGTAGCGAAGGAATTTATGCCGAGAAAAAAAATTTTTTTAGCTCGTGTGCATATGTACGTGCGTGCATGCGTGCGTGCGTGCGTGCGTGCGTGCGTGCGTGCGTGTATATGAATGTGCGTGGGTGTAAGTTCTATTAAATCGATAAAACAATAATCCTAACGGAATTCAGTCTTTAGAATCCTCTTAATCTTACTTTGAATGCGCATGAACATTAAAACTGCTTTGTTACACTGTGTATGTAATATATATATAATGTTTATCTTCTATAAAAATTAACTTTTTCGACAAATACATTATTTTGAAACTAATTTAGTTAAATTATTTAACATTATACAATTAATATAGATGGGGTGGCGTGATTTTTATTAATCCATCATCAGAGGTTTGTGAGAGCGCACGAGAGGATGAAGCCGTTACTGTTGTTCCCGAAGAAACTGTTATAGTAGGTACATTCTTGGCACAACTCAGACTACTGCTAGGCATTCCAGAAATGGTAACGATATTAAAAATTTTTTATATATTGACTTAATTTTAAATAGAATAATTTCTAATTTTTTTTCCAGTCTGTTTTAATTGTGTAAATTATTCAAATTTATATACCCAGATTAACTACAGAGATAGATTTTGAGCAGATTATTCTATCATTCAGATAATATCATAGATTTGTTTTCTGTAGCTAAACTAAGGTTTATTTTCTGTTTGCATTAGTTAAAAAAATATACACTAAAGCGTTTTCTATTCTTAAAATGGTGTCAGCGACGCTGTTTTTTGTTCCAGTGCAATAGAACCCAGTTCACTGTACTGGCTGCACTATGTCACGAGTCAATGCAAGCAGTACAAACAATAGTTCAGCCACAGAAAACAGATCTTGTACAAATAGCGAGAGTTTATGAGTAATAAAATAATATAAATGATAGTAAACCTATATACATACAAAAACATTTTGTATCATTATCTTTAATTAAGAATTTTCTTAAATTTGGTTCTTTAAACATTCTTTAAATATAATAAATAAAATTATTTGTACCTCAACTGCACTATAATACAGATTGAATAAGATATCAAAATTTTTATTTTATCTTTTTAAAATGAGATATCAGAATTTTTATTTTATCTTTTTAAAAAAATTGTTCTATACGCTATGTTCCTGATTACGAATATCACATTACTGCAATATTGCATGCGATTCGCTAAACGTAAACAAAACATTGATTGTTATCTTACTTCAGTGAGCGCTCGACTCGCACGCCAGCAGTGCTCCACGTGCGCTGAGAAATAGCATGAATGTACAGTGCCTGTTTATAGCTCAAAAACTATTAATTATTATAAACATATTTTGTAGTATTGGAATTATTTTTCAAAATAATGTTAGGAATTTGCCCTTAAACATCGTTACGATTTTTACGAGGCAAAATATTTTAATATACAAATTCATTGAAATGTAAACGACTTAAAAAATAATTAATTTTCAGAAATCTATTAACGGAGTGACGGCGGTGCCATTGGTGGGATTAAAATCACGTGATTGGGAAATTGATTCCTTATTGAGATATCGCACTGTTGAGCAGTTAACTTCGGCCAAATTAACTCTACAGTCACTGGCCCGATTACTCAAAGAAATTAGCAATATTGTAATCACGGATGTAGTAGGAAACAGAATCAAGACTGCTCTTGAGCTAGTGCATGAATCTGCTGAGCATCTGCGACGAGGCGATCTTAAACGTAGTTTCATCCTGAGCAAAGAAGCTTTTATTATCTCTGAGGCGGCTTTTTCCGACCCAACACTCTTGGCACTTCTTTACTTTCCAGAGGATCAAAAGTAAGTTAATTTTAAATTATTTTTAAAAAAGTGGAAATAATGAAAAAATGTTAGAGCGTTATCATTTCCTCACCACCTTGCGGTAGATAGCATGGTGCGTTTTTTTTTATAGTGGTTTCCCCAGTAGGCCTAATCCACTCTCATCTTTTAATGCAAGAACCACGAAATGGCGTCCTCTCTCTTGTATGCAAAATTCCTCCCTTCGAACAACATCGCGTGCTTGAAACGAAAAATTATTTTTTACTTGAGATAGTTGAAACGGTCCACGTCTATGTAACATAAAAAAAAGATAATATGTAATTCCTCTTTGTGAGTTTTCTTACATCCATATAAAATCAATAGAAAGCATTACGAAAATTTAGCATATATTTTTTAAAATTACATAAATAATTTTATGATATTACAGGTACGCCGTGTACATTCCCCTATTTCTGCCGGCTATGATACCAGTGTTATTATCTCTTAAGAATATACGAAGGTACTATTTCCCTGGAAAGGATAACACAGAAAAAAAGGTCGATCTTAGAGAAAGTAAAAATGACGAGGACAATAGACCAAAAGCTGAATAAATCACTTATTCAACCGATAATATATTACATGTAGACGCTCGTGCGATTGCCCGTTCGAAATCGTTTCGATCAAAAGGTAATGTATAACAATAAACGTATTTCGAGTATCTTTAATTCACTCCGATGGAATCACATAATCTTAACGATTATTAAATATGAACATAAGAATTTTTACTCACTGTTGCATATGACAGATAACATATTAATATCTGGTTCAAAAAAGATGCTGAAAGACAATGCTTGAGAAACGGTAATAGCTTTGTTTTATTCCGAAAAGAAAAATGTTTAACCCTCCGTGAACCAGATGGAAAATCAACATGGATCAAATGTGGGTATATCTCATATCCCATGCTATACTTCATTATAAATATACTATAATTTAATATGATTGGTAACAACGCACTCTCCAGTTGCACGAAATCGGCAACACATATAAGCGGTACTTTTTAAGAAGTTATAGAAATTCTTGCTGGGGTATGTCACATCCCACCTAGTTCACGGAGGGTTAATAAACGATATGTATACGAGTGTATGATATTCATACAAAAGAATATAATAATCGATTTTTTTCTGGAGCCTCCTTTCTTTTCTCATTTGTTTCTTCAAACCACTGTGGAAGAAAACAGGTGAGACAACACAAATAACGGCAATTCAGAATAATCAGCTAGTAAATCAAATTTTGGTCCTAAATAGTCACGCAATATTCAAATATAACATTGATTAGTAATAAAAAAACAAATATAAAATGTGAAAAAAGAATAGATATAAAATTTGTAAATATATAATATGAAATTACTTTTACAAAACTTCGTTAATTAATAAAATGTAAAGTAAATGTAAATGTAAATTAATAAAAAATGTAATAAACAATAAAATAATGACAAACAATTACATTAATAAGTCAATAAGTAGGGTACCCGAAAATATGAATCGGGTAATAATAAAAAAAAATCGGGTTCGACTTTTTTGTACTAAATAACATGACTTTAGTGTTCATCTGGATACACTATATTGCAAAAACTCATTATTGTACTTTATTTGAGCTGTTCCAAATTTACCGCCTGCGCTAAAAATGTTACAGTTTTTACATTACGTGTATTATAGATTTTCAGTACAGGCAGTCGATTTTGGATAGCCTTGCTTGCAGATTATAGAGTTCAAATTTCGTGCACTCAACCGTAGCGAGAAGTACCAAAAACACATGCACATATGATCAGAGCAGTGCTGGGATTTAGTTGCATATTTCGGCTGATTTTCAGCTTGGTTCTTGCCCCTTACTTCACCCGCGCGCAACCTAAATGCCGATCAGCAAAAAAAATCGTAGAGATCTCTGTCATCCCACGTTGTTCTCGTCTCGGAAAGCATTTTCAAACGAGCCCTCACTCGACCCCATACGCTATTTAAGATTTTCCGGTCCTCCTCTTTCTCCCCAGGCGTATTAAGGCGAATGTTTTCAAAAGTAAATGATAGATTTTATGATCCCATTGTGTCCCTGTAAATTTCAATCCTATATCTCGAACCATTCAGACCAGAACCATTATTTAGGTGACCCGGAACTTTTGGCGATCACTGTATAATTTAACACATATAAATAAAAAATTTTCATTTTTCCGCCCTAAAGAAAAAGTTACATTATTGATACTCTCAACTTTGGAAGTTCCGTCAGGAATTATCGTCAGTCTCTTTAGTATTCTGATATTTCTGATTATTTTTCGACAAGCAAAGCATCAACAAAATGGATGAGGATGAGCCTAATTTTATCAACATCGAAAATGAAGAGGCTAAACTCAATAATTACCTTACAAATTTTTAAAACTAACTTTCGGTGCTTTAAAGACTTTTCTTTTTTTTGTTTGCACTTGTTTGTCCATTGATACAAGTTAACAGCATAGCACCTTTTTACCATGATATTTACTTTTTATTTTTTTACTGAGTTTTTTTTCAACATGCGTTATTCTCACTTCGACAGTGTCGCAATTGTGAATGCCACACTTCCATCTCCACCACAACCGGAGGTCAGCGATAGAAGGGCCACGAATTTTGTTGTCGCTGCAGAGTCCAAAGCAAATTGCAGAGATTTTATTTCTTTCTATTACTCGTGAACTAACTCGAAGTTCGAGTTAGTTCTATTAAGAATCACCTATTTGCTACATATAAAAGCTGTGCAATCTGTACTTACGAAATAGTAGTCCACAGACTAATAGTTTGCACAAAGAAACAGCGTGTAGTTCTTAGAATTGGACTTAGACGTCTAAGGCCCAATTGTACCAAAGTTACTTTGACTTTAAGCGAGGTTTAAAACTCTTTCTGTCTCTGTCACACTTTTGGTTTGAAAACGAGACTTTTAGGGTTTTAAGTCTCGCTTAAAGTTAAAGTATAATGTTGGTGCAACCGGGCCTAATTAAAACATTATTGTTATACGAAAATTTGTGTATATGTACGTGAGCTATTGATGTAGTATGCAGTGATGTGTCAGTGACGCGTAAATTACCTGTGTGGAAGTCCTACTTACACTATGACTAATCGTCTTTAGAATCCCCTTAAGGATCATTTATACTGGTCGTAAATTGTTAATTTATGATGTAAGCTATAAGAAATTGACCAATCACAATCGAATATAACTGAAGTCGCTTAATCGTTATTCCAGTAAAAGATCATTTATACTGGAATAACGATTAAGCGACTTCATTCTCGTCATATTCGATTGTGATTGGTCAATTTCTTATAGCTTACATCATAAATTAACAATTTACGGCCAGTATAAATGATCCTTAAGGAGATCCTAAAGACGATTAATCTTTATATATATAAAAAAAAGACAATATAAAACAAACTATGAGCGAATCAGCCAATCACAGTAGAGAATGTAAAGTAGTTATTTACTGTGATTGGCCAATTCGCTTACTACTTACGTCTTTTGTGTTTCTAGCTTTAGTCAATCAGAGCTAAAAATTTTTGACTAATTCTTGATTAACTAATTCTTAAGGTACGTCTTATATATATATACAGTTACTGTTATGGAAAATGTATGCAGCAGCTCTAATATCTCGTTCTAGTTGGTTCTGTTTTTTTTTTCTTTTTACTCACTTATTCACTTGTACGTTGTACATTCATTTGGATAAGATAATAGTTTCTTATATTGAAATTTTCATTATCATTGATAGTTAAAATTTCATATTTGTGGGTTGAAATGTACCACGCATATTCATGATATTCCATGCATGCATATCGGTATCTACTCAGTTGAGATACGCATCACGCATTCAAATACAAGCAAATTTCACACATCCTCTCTCTCTCTCTCTCTCTCTCTCTCTCTCTCTCTCTCTCTCTCTCTCTCGCATCCTTTCTTTATCAGATTCCAAAAGTTAATAATTTGATTAGATCGTTAGAAATAATGAGTTTTATGTACATATATATCAAATCAATCCTCAACCACATTACCAAAAGGTTACAAAAAATTGCGAACGTTAAGTTACAATTTAAAAAATGAGAGAAAAATTGTCCATCTACCGTGAGAGATTGTTTTTTCTATTAATCTATGATAATTAAATAAGGATTTAACGTTATTCGATAAGAGAAGAGCATATAGTAAAATGGTTAGCTACTCGATTCATTAAATCAATATAAAATTAATTTTTTAAAATAAAATAAATAAAAGGATCGTATGTAACGTCAACAAAGTAAAAATAATTGCTTCACAAATGCCGTGTTCATGACAAATACTAGCAATAAATAGAATATCTTGACGTAAGTAAAGTCTTGATTGCACATGTTTTAATTCCGTCAAGAACTTAAAAATGATAAGTGTAATAATACTATGTAAACAAGCAACATTATTAATGAAAAGAGCATAAATAACACGCGGCTGTATATTGATGAGACATTAACGATAAAAAACATTATGAGAAAAAGCAATCTTATTAGCAAGAGCAACCAATAACGATAATGAATTGCTGTAACTAACACAATCGCTTCTTATAGATATAATAATGATAATACATTATCATCATTATATCTATGGTATACGTATTGATCTCAAATGGTAGCTGGACATGGTTAAGAATAAAAATAAATTAATTCTCAAACTGATGAGCTTATCTGTGTGAAAAAAATAGAAAAAAGAAAAACAGTAAAGAGCACTTAAGTCAACAAGGATTTTGAACTAATTGTATCGCATGTTGTAAAGCATCAGCGATATTCTGAAAAACAGGTACACCTTCACGCGTTGCGTAGTCCGACAGGTACATCCTCCCCCGGTTGTAATCTTTTCGGGCTTGTTCAGTCAACTAAAGGAATAAAAAGAAAATAATAATATCAACTATTATAATTATAAAAAAGAAAATTTTCCTATAAATGTTTATAAAAACAAATATGTATCATAGATTATAACTTTGCAATATTGTATAGAAGTTAATTTCATTATTAATTGCAAAATATATGATGCTTAAAGTTTAATTTATCAGAATCATTTAGTCCTAAGGTTCCTGAGTAGTCGCTGTGGCCGTATTAGCTATTCTTACTCTCCTCCTCCTCTCTCAACAGTTAGCAAATAGTCATAAAAGGCATGAGGTGTGTTTACTCAACGTGAGGTGCGTTTATTCAATGCGTACGCATAGCCTATTTTCACTTCCTTTTATGAGTATTTGTTAATTGTTAGGGAGGGGGGGGATAAGAATAGTTTCGGCCCATTTTTATAAGTGTTCTATAACGGTTATTTTATTTTATTTAAATTTTCTTTGTTTACAAATGATATGCAAGAAACTTTATCGTGTCATTTCTCGCTTATGACGTCACGATCTTTATATGATCGCGGCGACTATTCAGGAGACTTACATAATTTGATTGTCATTCTGTGTTGTGTGTATATGTGTATGTATATGTATGTATGCGTGTGTATTGGGAAAAGGGAGGGATGTAAAATATTAATCATACTTGTTCGTCAGATATAATAGAACCCTCAGGAAGAATTCGAACACAGAGGACGAGCTTAACGTGCAGTCCAATCAAATGAGCTGCCAATGCCATAATGGCGATACCGCGCGAATGCTGCGGCACTATCAATAGGATCAGTCGTGAGTTCTTTATCTTCTGCAATTCATGCGGCAATATTCTTACGTTGTATTCATTCAAGCTTGGTCGATATAGAGATAACCTCATTGATCTGGAAAATCGCAAATAAATGAAACCATACTTAATGTTCCGTGACTCCGTGTTCTCAGAGATTGAGATTGAAATTGAATTTGAACAATCAAAACAAAATTCATTAAATTTGATATTGTGTATCATGATCGGCACAGTATTCAAAGATCTCATGATCTTGCGTAGCTGTCAAAGCGTTCTTGCTGAATCAGCACGTGTTCTTGCAATTACAATTATTGCGGTTGTTCGTACAATCGGGTCGTGTTATTAATACACGTTTACGTTTTACAATATGTATATCGAGGTCTTGTTTCCATAATTATTATTATTTCTTAATTCTATTACGTTATTTATTCTCTTATGATTTATTTTGTTTAGTTGCTCGTGCGATTGCACTCGTGACAATTGATTCTGATCGGTTAAGTACAATCTCAACCTCTAGTTTGATACAGGCATAACTCGGTGAGAAATAATTATCACTAAGCTGCTAATACTCACTCTATCAACGGTATTGCAGAAGATTCTAACCAAAACAGATCTTTACTGACTACGCCAACATAAATGTCTCTCTTCTCGAACTCTTGTACGAAGGAGTTAGTCCAATCTGAAAAAGTTTAAATCTTGATAGTTTAAGATAAGTTTCATTTTTTTTTACCTAATTTTTACAAAACAGATGAAATCGAGTGCTCAATTTTAGGAAGTGAGAAAGTGGAATATTCAGGCGAGAAGTGTAGACAGTGAGTTCATTGAAGATCGTGGGAAATTGTTGAAAATCAGAAATACCTAGGAACCGATTAAAAGGATGTACGAAAACTCGGCGCAAGAAATTTGAGGTCTTCCTACATAATATATTCCATACTGAAGGTATCTCACTTTCGCAAGAGATGCCATTACTCTTCATCCGCATCCATGACGATTCACTGGCTAAAACGCAGAACTGTTCGAAATTTATTCGCAATTCGGTTGGGTCATCTTTTGCCGGAAATCCGTCTATTAATGTCCTATAGATTTCTGCACAGGAAATATCGTACTTTAATATTTTTTACTATTAAAACACGAATCTATTAAACGCCATAAAAATATAATACGCAAGCATTACCGGACTTCTTATTTACTGTGTTGAGCAGATCCAAGAGAGACAAATTGTTACACATTGTGCTTGACTGTAACATCATCCAAGCCTGGAATAAAAAGATCATGTTAAGTTTGATGATTTTTTTTAAGATACTTCATATGGTAAAACGTACATACTTCCCCCAATTTTACTGTGCCACTATCATTAACGTCCATAGATTTGAAAATTTCCCGCAATTTTCTGTCATGTAAACAAAATTTCTTTGTAAATTATTTGTAAATACTGTTTTTTTCTTTATTTATATGCATGCTAAGAAACATTTTGAAAGATTCTTGGAGGTAAGGACCAAAACAAACAATTTTTAATTACATTCTTGTATTTTCCCTCTTTAATACTCAAATATGCTGCGTTATTTATCGAATGCATCTAATTGTGATGTAAACTCATTTAGTGACTAAACATGAGAACAAGCGCTATAGAAATACATCAATTTGTCAATATATAAATTGTTGATGACTGCCATATCAAATCATTATTGTAATTGTTTCGAATCATTTAAATATGAACAATTCGAAAAAAATATAATTCTTGATCTTACTAAATATTTTTTTATTTATTAAACTATTATGAAAAAAAACCGACATTGTTTATTGATCTATTTATATTTACGATTTTAATTCCTTAATTTTTAGACATCACTTTCATGTCAATGTTAATTACACATCGCCAGGTTATTATATGATATTTCCGGACATAGGTTGCTGAGTGATAATTGCTTGTTTTAATTTTATCTTATTGTTCATAAAGATGTTTTCAAATTACCTTATATATATATTTATATAATGTATATGTTACGAGTCATAGTATAGTTTAGATTTTGGTAGGTAGGAATGGATGTGCGATGGAATGGTTTAAGATTTTCTATTAAACCAAATCTCTTTCTTGGCTAAAGTTGAAGTGAAATAAATATCTATCTATTTATATATATATATATATATATATATAATGTAAATAGGCAACTACATAGAAACTTACACTACATCCGTTCCATTTTGAGTAAGCGAGATTCTTATAGGTTTGATGCCATCCTCGGTGTTCACGCAATCCTGCACATTGATCTCTTCACGTAACATCTATACATAGTATATATATACATATTAATCATTCAGGTCCGGTTTTTCATTGTCTGGTTAACTTGTGGTTAGACTTAATCTGATATTTTATTCAATGGGCTTTATCTATGATGATATCATGAATGAAGCCCATTGGGTGAAATATCAGGTTAAGTTTAATCACAAGTTAACCAGGGAATGAAAAACCGGGCTTCATTCTGATACATTTGTTCGTCAATTAATCATTACCTTGGACGTACAATGAAGGGCAACTGATACACTCTCGAATATTGGTACCCTTTGCCTTTCCATTAGGTACTGAAGCACTAACAACCCGTTCATCAAGTCATAATATTCCCTGTAGAATAAAATAAGACTGATAAGAAAAAAATTATAACAATTAAATAATAAATCTAAATTAAGAGATTTAAATTTATTTCTGTGTGTGTTTGTGGAATCTGTATAATTTCATATTATATGATTAATAAACCTTAAATCATATGAACGTACTGTGTAGAAACAGTCTCTCCGAGTATAGCTTGTCCTTGACGATATGGATAAATGACAAGAACTAAGGACTCGCTACGTGTAGCTGCCAGTTGAGCTGCTTCAATGATGCCCGCGCTATTGCGCGTCTGATTATCAATGACAAACAGTAAGACTCGTGCCGTCTGTTTTGCCTCATATTCTTGGGCTATTAATTCTGGCCTCCACTGTGACACTTGCTGTGATACATAATTTAATTACAATATCTCGTACGCATGCAATTATGAAAAAAAAATGGCTAAACTATTTAAACTATTTACAGGATTATAGTAAGTAATGCCAAGATTCTGAAGAGTCGGTATCGCTATATCTGACCTCCAGGTAGTTGGATTACAAGACCCGCCCAAAAATACCTCATACGCCATCCTCTCTAAGAAATTAATCAATAAATAAGTAAATAGTTAAGACATTGTCTCATCGATACAATTGAATAGTGCCCATAATACAATAAGCAGATTGTTTGTTGACTTACTTGAACCAATTTTGTGTTTAGTACCTTTTCCATCACCGTGTAATGAACAAGAGGCGTTCATAGGAACAACTGTTGTTCTAAAACAGAATAAGAATAATATGTATATGTAGTGTAATCTTTTTATTTTTTTTAATTCATATACTGATCTAGTATTATCACACTCAACATGGTGACTATTATTTGCATAGGACTTTATAAAGTGATTTTTCTATTTATTCGACCGTGCATATAAATCTGCATACATAGACTGATTCATCAAATTCTATGATTAGGAGTAAACTTTTTCAGTTTCACAATCTTCACTGTTTTGATTATAACTATTATAAATACATTTTACAATTTTTACTATGCACGAAAAATATAAATTATGGCGTGTACGTACCTAATTTTCTGTGCTTATTAAAATGAAGAAATTTTCAAAAAATTTATCAAAACTCAGAAAATTTTTATAAAAATAATTTCTTTAAACATTCTATTTTTATTATAATAATCACCAAAACTATAATAAATTTATTATTAAATTTTTTAATAAGTTTTTTATTTAGATTTGAATGTTTCGTTTTCTTTTAAAAAATTTTTTTCAATATTTATGGGGAGAAATGATAAAACTATTATAGTAATCTCTCATAAAACTATTATAGCAAAATTATCCATCTTTACTTTTCTTTTTTTCATTATTATGTTAACATATTTATTCAAATCATTTTTTAAATACATTTTATAATATGATTGGTTATATTTTTACGGTCCAATAAGATTCTTATTGTTTATGTTATGTCACCTGGAAAAAAGACATTATTTCCATACATATACTGATTATTGCAAAGAATATTACTAAGGCCTCGGTGGTCTAAAGGTTTGAGACGTTTGCATGGAATGCTAGAGATCTGAGTTTGACTCCAGGCCGAGGTAATATTTTTCACAAAAATAAATTTACGTACAGATTTCCAGCATATTAAAATCTCTTTAATAGATGCTTATTGAGCATCAAAATTTAATTGTGATATTATTTCAGTTTAGCTGCGTTTTTAAGTAGAACTAACGAAAAAATTAATTCGGCGAGTAGTTCAAATGACTACAAATATGGTCTATATAATGTATATGCATGTATGTATATATATAGTATATACAAATTCATATCGAATTATTGAAGATTTAGCTTTGACCGTTATAGGCCTTTAGTAACGCTAATTATGGTTGAAGTTAAATGTTGGAATAATATTTAAAAATAAATTTATTTTCGGAATTATAAATTACTTTCGGACTTGTAATTAAACTGAAATAATAATCTTCTCAAATTAAATTAGATATTAAGATGCTAATAACAAGAAAAATTGACCATCTAATTTGGGAAAATTATTATTTCAGTTTGTGTTAAAAGTCCAAAAGTAATGGATTTTGTCTGTTTAACATGAACGAAAATGTACGGAAAGTAAAGAAATTTTTCTCTCCTCAATTTGAGTAAACATCTTATAAACGGTTATTATGTTTCAGTAAATGTTAAAAATGTCGTTGATGAAATTCATTATTCAAAACTATGTAGTATTGGACAATTTTTAATGTAGGATGCTACTAAAAAGGACAATTATATCGGATCATGAAATTACATCAGTTTATATAGCAGAGAAGAAACATTATCAATGATATCAGCGATTCAAGCGAAATTTCATCAGAGTGTGGTAATATGATATACGAGATAATAGCATGGATTAATCGTTTTGTAACTAAACGTACTTCCAGATATCAAATAATTTTGTAATGACAGACATTGCATTTCGTTTCATCATTGTTTTTAAATATCCTCACTATAATCATAATTAAATGGTCAATACCTTTGCCTGAAACATAGAATTTTCCCCGTTTATCTAATAATCGGACAAAGATACGCATGTATATAGAAAAAAATGATTTGTTCTATAAATAATAATTTAGTTTGTGAGAGGAATGGAAGCCGTTATTATATAAAAGAATTATTTTTGATCATCTTCAAAAATACTGACAACTACCTAAAAGCAAGTCAGACCTGTCAACATATTGTGAAGTTTTTTTTATATTACCCTTGCTCGCACAGATGTGCCAGTTCTGCGGCAAATATGTAGAATTCTTCTAACATTATATAGGCATCAGTATATTCAGGACAATTCTCAGCATCGTACTGCAGCTTGTTGTATAGCTGCAAGCAGTTTAGAAGCAACAGCATCACGTATATTTTTTGTATCTACAACAGTAAGCAATTCTCTTTTCTTTGTTTTGGTATCGTTAGTTGAGGAAATATTAAGTAAGAATAAATTTACTATACTTACATTGGAGATACTGGTGATTGTTAAGTTTATGCTTGATCAATACCTGATAAATATTCCTCATTATTTAAAACTGATTTAAATGCCTACTTTTGGAAATATGAACGTATGTTCTTTTCAATTGGAACTTTTAAGCTTTTCTATAAAAAAAAAAAAGAAATATTATGATTCTACAATTAAAATAAACCTATTTTATTAAACAGAAAGTAAACTTTATATAATAATATATAACATAGGTTATAAATCGCTTTAATTTTAAATGTAACAACTGTATTAACCTTGATGACATTTTCGTCAGATATGCCAGTATATTAAATGCTTTCCACCAAGAATAAAGCTTTATATCCTAGTTTCTTCTAATTAAAAATGTTTCAAGTTCACCTGAATAAAACACAAGAGAGCTTTTAACATATCTACATGTTTATTTTTCAGACGTTAGCACAAGTATATAGTTATAATTTTTTAATTACAAGAGGAAATAGGGAAAAAGAGAATAATATTTATATATGTTGATGTTCTCATTGTCGAATCATTAAAATGTCCCGGGGTCTGTTTTTAACTAGTATACACTTTTGGAACTTAAAGATAGGTATATGTTTAATATTTGATGAAAGCGAGAAAAAGAGTTCAGTCTGATGCAGGAATAAAAAAACAGACCTACTCACTAATATTCCCAAGAAATATTGTCATGTAATCACATTTCCCGTTCCTAATTACAATAACAGATGACTCATTGATCCATACAAATAATTTGCATCATGTTAAAAAAAAAATAACAATCTCTTAACGCATCATAAATTTTGTTAGTCACAAAAAAAAGTTAAACGTCTCTGTCAGCAGTGCCACTGTTTTAAGACTTTCGAAAACGCAACTGACGGATACTAATGTATACACACAACCACCTCGCGTCACCTCTCTGTCGTTGCTTTACGTTAAAGGCAATCACATATCACACAGAATCGTCGGTCGATTTAAAAAATTACTTATTATTTTTCTAAAGAAATCTCGATACAAGAATTATTTTAGATTATTAATCTAAATAAAGATGGCGCACTCCACAAATCTTTTTTTTATCATTTATCCTCCGTTCTACCTATCCACATTCCGGAAGGGATCGCACGGCAAACAGCAGCAAATATCGAAAGAAACAAGTATCTTTGATGATGTTACGTACCCATACACAAAGAGCACGATCACGAATTTTTGAGTGCAAGACGAAGCGCACCATTCGTTTACACTCTCGCTGTCATTCACTCTTTCTACATTTATCTCTGTCTGAACACGTTGATAAACAATGCGTATCCACGCGCGCGCGCGCGCGCGCGGGAGAAAAATCAACAGCGGTGGCGACGCAAAGAGCCTCGCCGCGCACTCCCGCTATTGCTCATACTTATTTATACACTGTTATATTTAAAATGAAAGAGAGGCGCGCACTAAGTAACTGGCGCTAGAGACGTAGACGGTGGATGGAGAAGCACAGCGCCGTACGGATAGTCAATCACATTTTCACCGGGATGGTACGTTGAAGTTATTATCATTTTAGTCTCGTCCACCGAATGTTAAGCGAAGGATCAAACGGGTACACCCCCGGGTGAAGTCACAGTCGATGACGACGTGCGTCATGTGCGATACGACGCGAGCGAATGACGGAAGTCGTTCGATCTCACTCGTAAATATTAATATAACAGTCTTCGCGACATAGAGCGGCTATTCCGACACGTCGAGCGTTTCCAAATGTATGAATAATTTTATCTTCGCGAAGACACCGAGTGCTTTTTATTTCGAATAACAGAACAACCGTCTTTTTACCGTTTTACACGCAAGAGACACACTGGTGACTGGAGCGAGCGTGCGAGTCAGCAATGACGAGTCGAGCGACATTTATCGCTTGTTGTCTTTCGCGACGAGATTGTCTGTCCGCCTGCATGCGTGCGTACAAACGTATGTACGTACGTACGTACGTACGTGCATGCATGCACTCGTCCCCGCGACTCTGCGCGACTCCACGCGACTCTTCGAGCAGACTCGAGAATGACGTAAACCTCCAACAATGAAGCGTGATGTCACACATGAAGTTCGCACAGACTCTCCACCAAACCGTTGCACCTCCACTCCGCACGCTCGCGCACGCGCGCGCCTTCGGGGACCTTGAATCTTGCAGTAATGTGGTAGACTCCAGTAGACTCGTATTGTAACGACATGCTTGTTGACACAGGGAGCTTTCTATCGAGATTTTTAGGCGACAAACATCGACACGGCGTCGGACACGGTGCTTTCCAACGATGACGCGCCACGGCACGATTAGACACAGCAAAAGTGGATGCTTTCCCTAAAAAAGGTTTTAGTCGACACACAATCAACACGGTGGCGAACATAGACCTTCATACACTTAGGAGCAATTAAGCTTAACGTTGCTCATTTTTTTTTATTGCAAAAGTTTGCGAATAGTCTGGGAAAGTTTAGGAAAACGATCTCATAATTTAAGAAATAATAATTTATTATCAATGAAAATTGAGCGTATAGTTAGCAGAAGTATTTAACATTTCTCATTTTTTTTTGTTGCAAAGTTTAGGAAAATTGTCTCATAATTTGGGAAATAATTGTAATTATTAAATAAATTCAATAATTAAAAATCAGTTTCATTATTGTGCAGTAACATTTTCTACTTTATCGATTGTGCACTCACACTTTATTTTGACTATAAACTCTATAGCCTATAAACTCTGTTACATTACTTTAGAGTAATCTTACTCCACCATATATCATGCAAAAGGTACAGTTCTTTTTTTATTTCAAATAATTATGAAAAAATAATTGTTTATATTTAAATTACATGTGCATATTGCGTATCGTAAAAAATCAATCTAAGCGAGAAAATTATAGGAAGAAAATTAAAACTTGAGACACTATAATTTCATTTTAGTTTCTCAACTCCTTCTGCAGAACAAGGATATATTTGAGCGACAAATCAGAGACCAAACAGGTAAAAGAGTTCACTGAGCGCTCAGAAAACGGTCATAGTACTGAATGCACCCATTGATTGTATACAATACACGATGATATAAAATTTCTCTGACACACTTTTTTACAGGAATTGGAAAGAAAATTAATAGAAATGGTTACGTAGGAAAATCTATCCGATATTTTCTGAAGTGTACAAAAAACGTAAATTTTGACATATGTAATTAAAATATTTCGAAAGAAATTGAATTAGCACCGATAAATATTAATGTAAATAAATCATTGCGTTACAGTAATATGATTCATATTACCGATCTTTAAATTTTGACAGTATTTTGGCTTTTTTCTATTACAGAAAGCTTTTTTGGAATATGAAATTAAGTGGTTTAGCAACAAGAAAATTGTTCGTTTTTTTCTGATATTTAACGTGCTATAATCGATATGTAATTTTTGGAGAAAATTGTTGATTCGTAAAGATTAGCATACAATACCGAATAGTTTAATATACTTTAACTTATTAGAAAACTTGCTTCGCATTCTGGATTTTGGTTTTATATGTTTATGTAATCGGAAAAGGTTCACTTGCACATTGTAGCAATTGCCCACTGCCAATCATAGCGACTTCTACATAGGGAGTTTTTTAATTTTTTTTTCTAGCGTTGTGATTGGTTTGTGCGCAATTGGCTCGTGTGCAATTAATATACACCTGTCCACTTTTATTAGAGTGTTAAATGGCCGAGATGTTTTATATTCACCCATTTGAAAAAAATGTCAACATATTCTTTTAGCAAAACCTTATTTAAGAAACTGATAAAAACCGATATGAAAGTTTAATCACTTTTTATCGTAATAATGAATTACGAAAATTAACAAAAGAATATCGCTACGATTCTTGTCGATTCCTTTCACAAATATCCCATTTATTATATGGTTCTGTATCATAAGGATCATGGCACAAAAAACTTAAAGCAGTAAAACGTAAGCAGTAAGGAAATCAACATGTTGGATTGGCTACTACTTACATTTTAGCGCTTAAGTTTTTTTGTGTCATGGCCCTAATAGTTAAAATTTTTATTTGAAGAAAAACATATTTTAGAATCTAAAATATCATTTCATGAAAAGTTCTTGAAAATATGAACAATTAGATGTATTCCAATACAGCAAAATTAACACAAAAATTTGGTATTTGATGTCACATAAATAACGACACAATAAATATATCTACATTGCATTAAAGTTGCTTGCGATATATTTAAATTCAATATATCTCAAATGTATTTTGAAATAAAAATTTGTATTTTACGATATTTATTTATCGCAATAAATTGTAAGTTTTAAGTTACTATTAGCATTATTATTAAAATTCATAATCAATTTAATTTGTGGGACTATTATTTCAGTCTATGATTGAATTGCAAATTCGACAATACTCGGTGCATAGTTAAAAAATATATATGAAACATTATTAGGCACTAAGATCTAGCTTCGATCACTTATAGGCTTTTTTTCTAATTGTTTGAAAATTGTTGTATATAAATCCTAGTATCATTATTTATTAGCGAAAATATAAAAGCAATGAATTCATATTGACAATTCAATAGGTAAATGATAATTTATGATAATTTTGAAATAGTATTTAAACTTGTAAAATTGTATATATATATATATACACAATATATTTATATATTAATAGAACAAAATAAAAAATTTCAAACTATACGATTACAATTACAATCATGATTTCCAAAAGTACGGATTCTGCTGTAACCGCCTCTCAAAAGTTTCATACCAGTTCCGTAATGTAGACAGAGGTACAAAGTTCTCAGTAGGATTTGGTGTCATTTGAGCTTGTGTCACTGTAAAACTAGTCACATAATTCACAAAACTCGTCAACATCTTTTGTACGAATTCCATGGAAGAATTAGTTGTAGTTGCGGCAACGGTAGCTATCTGCTGCTCAATCACTGTCAATGGTTCAACTGACACACCAATCTGTGCAAAGTGTGAGATCTTACCAACTCCAAAAATTCCTAAATTGCTATTCACAAATTCATGATTTTTCTTCAAATTCGATATCTTGAAGATGGCCGAAGGCTTAGAATTGGAAATATATCCAAGAAATTGCCAATTAGGTGGCGCATTTGGATCTGGCCAACTAAAGTATACTGTAAACAATGATTTTTCAATGATCAATTTTAACATAGGACATCTCTACAGTTTGTATGCAAAACTTTTTTATCGCTTTGTATCAAAACTAATTCTCTGTCTTACCTGCACCTCCCATACCATCTGGGAAAGGGATAGTACCAGTCAGGAACACCACTATATGGTTTACATTGTCAGCATCAGGTATAGTAATCACGAACTGATTCTCACCAACTTGCTGAAAGTCGGTTTGGACCTAAAAAATAAAAATCATGTTTATATAAAATTATATATAGAGAAGGTGAATGTTAATGGTTGTCAAAAATTTTGCCAGGAAGGTTCTACTAGTTTATAATTTTCTGATTAGCAAGAAAAAAAACCATTATAATATCAAGGATTCTCATGGAGATGAAAAGGTTTCATATTGAACAATCTTGTCATATGCATGCATCATAAATTGTTGTTTAAAATTCCTTTTTATGAAAATAACGAAAATTCGATCATTATTTCATTTTACATTGATGAATACAATTGTTTAAGAGATTAATTGTTTTTATATTTGTGATTTTGATATACTTTAATGTACTTAATTACAGTAGCAAAAATATTCAGCTTGGCTCGTTAGCCCCCTATTTTTCTTTATACTTGAATTTTGTTCATATATGAACCTAATTAATATTTATTATTTCAAATTTTAAAATTTATTCTCTGTATTTCCTTTATATTAATCTTATTAATATAAATTGATAAAGAATTAAACAAATCTCAATTAAATTTAACTAATGTTTGTAACAGAACAGTTTTATATATATATATATATGTCATTTTATCTATATATATTATTGAAATAAATATATAATATTAATCTAGCATTATTAAGATAAAGATATTTACAGCAAGATTAGTAAAAGTAGAGTTAAATTTCAGTTCACACGTAAAAACTTAAATTCATACTTGAGTCATAACTTATAAATTTTTAGAATATTTAATTCTTGGAACCAAAAATTACACAAATAAAATTGATTCAAAATTATTACTAATAAAACTGATTCACACACACAAAATCATTACAAAATCTTACATTACAAAAACAGTCATTGAAAATAATGTACTTATAGTATTTAGAGTTTATTGTAATACCTTGCCAGCTTAATAAGATAGAAACTTTTAAAATAAAGAATATATTTCACAATTGATTAAATAAATTTTATACTATTACTACGAGAGATAATAAATACAAAATTCGATACTTACGAGTCGTCCAGTCACTATTATCCCAAGCATTTTTACAGATGCATCTAGATCATTCTATCTCATTTATCAGAGCCACCAGAATGTACTAAAGAACTAGCCTACAAGTACAATTACTTATATATCATTCTATTATGGCTCCTGCACACAGAAAGCGACACGCTTACCGCGCGACGGAAATTGGCGCGATAGCCAATCAACGTCTCGCTTGCTCGGAAGTAATGGTTCCTGCACACTGGACTCGGAAACGCTTGCCGCGCGGCAAAATGTGACGCGGTAGCCAATGAGCTTACAGCTCCT